TATATATATATATATATATATATATATATATATATATATATATATATATAACTAATAAAAAGATAACGAAAAATTATATTCTATCAAAATTCTTAATTGAATTAATAATTTTCCACGTATATCTTTCAAAAACATGTATACAGGTACGCATAGAAATGATATATCGATGCGTGTTATATATAAATTAAGCATTCTTATTACTACTCTCGCGATTCGTGAATAATTTAGTCGATATACTTTATAGATTATTATGTATTGGTAATTCATTAGATTTTATTATATTTTATTCTATTTTTTTCTGTTATAAGAAAAGTAAGTTATACTTAAATTATAAGTTAAATAATTATAGTTATTAATTACAGAAATAAATTAATCAAATACGTTATTATTATTAATGCGAAAAACGTAGAACCTTACGTACAATATTGCGTAATACATATAGTGTCATCACGTATTAAATTAATTCACTAATTATATATTTTTTAAATTGTTAGCAAAGGATAGACAAAAATACAATTTTAGTAATTATCTGAAAAATGTGAAATACCTTAATCATTACAAATTATTCATAATATTGTCAAAACTATGACTATTATTACTGCCATAACTACGATTATTAATATTATAAGAATATTTGTATCTATTAGAAGGTCAGTGTAATTAAAATATATTACGATGAACATTTATAATTATTTTTTTGATTATAAAGTGATATAAATTTACAGAACTTCATTGATTTTCATAATTAAGAATTATAAAATATAAATTATATTGTATTATCAACTGCATTCACAATAAACTAGCTACTTTGTAAATAAAAGTATTTGATTCTTTAATATTAATTACCGTACATTTTTTACCCTAACCAAACAAGTAGTCACTAAATTATACTTTAAAGGTATTTAAATACTACACAGATTTAATTATTATACAAAGGTCTTTGGTTTTATTGTAAGTTATTTAACTTTCTTCTATATTTTATATATTTTATTTTTACAATTAATTTTTACTCATATAATTATTAAACTTTTAATGTTGAAATAAAACACAGTCGAAAATAATAAAGTAGTTAAAATAATTGTAAATACACGACAATGCTACAATTAAATATTATATAATTACCTACATAACTTTTATGTTTACAGTACACTCACTTATAGTCTAGGATATTATATTTAAATATTTGTAGTTTCAATTGATTTCAATATTTTTATTTTTATTTTTCTTCTTAGATAATATTATATTTTCATATTTATTTTTTAAATTATTATAGAAATAATATAATATAACAAAGTCTTTGAATGAATTTTTCACTGCATTAAATAAATTTCAAGATGTACTTGTCTCGATAAATATAATATATGAATAAAGTGTAGCAGCTATTAAATATATATATATATATATATAGTAAAAATAATAATATTTGAAATAAGTAAAGAAAGAAAAAAAGTTTAGCCCTAGAATATAAATTTAAAATAGTTGCAATATGTTAGTAAAAAATTTATTTTTTACACATTATATAAATTTTTAATAGATTATATATTCATGTACTATATTGTATTACATTTTATTTTGTTTACTGAAAAAATATTTTTGATTTTATATATTAAATATTAAAGTTATAAATAACGAATGATAATTAACATATAAATTATATCAAATATATCTCACACTTGACCATTAATAAACCATTTATTAAATACATATATTTCCAGTTTATTTTAGCCTACAATTGTATCGATTAAAGTTATTACATTATTTTATCTTTCAAAGATAATAATGACATTAGTATATATTAATACATTTATTAACTTAATATTTAAATATTTTAATGAATAAATAAATAGATTCTAAATAGAATATAGTACACATTAACATTTATATAAATACATATATTAATTTTCATAATATAGATAAATTTACAAATAATTGCAAACAGATTTTTTGGATTCATAAACAAAAAATAATTAAAATAAAAAAATTATAAAATAAATAAATCTCATTTGATAATATTCAACATTCATTTTATTCAATAATTTAATAATGATTATGAAACATGAAAATAAAATTATATCACAGACTAACGTTTGTATCTACTTGTTATAGAACTTATTTTGCCTTTTTCTAAAGAAATATATAAATAATTAGATAGGTAGCTAAATTGATAAATAGATATAGATTTTAAATAAACAGAGAGAAAGAGAGAGAGATATGTGGAGAGGAAGAGCCAAGCAGGCACAGAAGAAACCATTAATATGCAACTAAATTACTAAATTTCAAATTACACATGGTAACTGTTCATAATTGAGGCACATGCCAGTATTGTCTTCTGGTGAAATTCCACTATCTTCTCCGGGTCCAAAGGCAACTCTTATATGAAAAGGTAGAGCCGACGTTTCTACATGGCAAGTCGAAATATTGCGAGATATCAAATCACTATCGCCGACTGAACTACAAAGCGAAATTCCGCAATGCTCAAGGTCACATATTCCTGCGACATCGTTTCCAGGCTAGAAGCAAATATGTACTAATATAAGAAAAAATTTCTACAGTAAGTATGTGTACGTGGCATATGAACGACATGTTTAATTTAATGGAATTATATTAAGATGTCCATCCAAATTTCAACAAGTCATTTACTATAATTTATTTTAATCGATTTTTATAACAATTATTTCAAATAAAGATAATGAAGTTGTAAAAGCCCGGATAAAATAATGAAGGAAAATTTGTAAGATCAAAATATATTTATACCAGAAGTTTTTTCAACAACATTTATCTCCATAATTGCTGTATTATTATTATTAATATTGTTATTATTATTAAATTACAAATATTATAATACATCGTATTCTTTAAAAAATAAAATTCAATATTAATATTCATTCATTGTTAAAATTTTTTAAATATATATTTAATTCAAAAATTATAATTTATTTATAACGTACTATTTTTTAGCTAGAGTAAATAATTTCAATCATTACTTACAACTTCTTAAATTACTTATATTTCTTCAGATATTCATTTTTAAATTTTATTTAATTATTATCCATATTTTTAATCGAAATAAAATTAATTATTTCCTTATTTAAAAAATATTGTTCATTGATAGATGTTTTATGATAAGAGATTTGAAAAAATGAAATTGCATGATATATATTTGATTTGTATGGGTTTACTGACAATATTATATACAAGGTAAATAAAAATGATACAAATATTTGGACTGCAAAATCTTATTAAAAATAATTAACTATATTAAGAAAAGACAATTTATAATGAGTATGTAAAATAATTATATATATATATATATATATGTTTGTTCGAAAGTTGTGTTATTTCTTGGTTCGAACTGCCAGTGTTTCGATAGCTTTGATAATTTTCCGCCCGCTCTAGCAGATGCTTAAGGTGGGAGTCAAGTGGAAGCATTATAGTAATGTGCAGTATGTGCAAACTTCGTTAACATATGATTTATTAACAGTTACAATAGTACTAAGCAGGATTCATTTCTTATAGAACAGTGTAAACTCTGTCTTATCTCAATGATGTGGTTACTCCTTGATGGTGACGATGTCGTGGCCTCTGCTAGTGTTGTAAGGACTAGCAGAGATGTGCTCACATTCCTGTGTAGGACGTGTGGCCTTGAAATGAATGCATGCACGCGCGCCTATGTAGTACATATGGCCTTGAAGTGTATACATGAATATACCTGGAGACTATGCTTATTGTGGCTGTGTAATTTCTCGTCATGCGGCCAGCACCCTTGACTGCTTCTAACTGTGCACACTTAGCAATTAAAATGTATGTCCCTTGGGATGGCAGTATAGTTTTTCCTTAATGTAGTCAGCAACCTTGATTGCTTGTACGTATGGCACGCTTGGCAATTAAACTTGTGTCCCCTTGGATGGCTTCAATGCGTAAGAAATAATTGAATGACCCGGTGTGTGGCCTATAACACTAGCTGAATAACGTAATGACTTGTAATTGTTGACCGACTGATTCTCAATGAGCGACTGGGCGCTGTCTGCTGCCTTTAAGTATCTACGCTGCAGCTCACTTAGCTAGCAACAAAGCATCGCCGATACCGTACTGAAATCCTACATGAGGCGCAAAAGAAAAATCTAGAAGTTTCGAGAATTCTAAGAAAAGAACAAAGCTTAAGAAATTTGGAGAATTTCAGGCGATGTTATTAGTCGTAGACCATATAAACATTGCAGGCCATTTGAAACCAAAACATAAGAAGTACACGAAAGTTCTCGTCTCGAGTGTTTACAGAAACCTGAGAGCTAGAAAGACTAGCGATGCTGATAGCCAACGGTCTTAGAAATTGCTTCAATCCCGAATAATGTTTAAAACGCTTAAAATCAGTACGTAAATGTATATATGTACGATTAATTTTCAACTTTCGCTTCTAATGCAATACAAAAATTATATTTACATAACTAAATTATTGTGTTTTAAATAATATTACAATTACATTTCTCTTTCCTTTAACAATTTATCAACATTCTTATTTACAAATACTAATTCCATAATAGCATGTATTATTTATAATTTTATAATATGTTTGTATTAAAATTTCAAAATGATAGAAATATGAATCTTATAAAGTTTGAAATCACACATTTTTAATGATTATGATTAAAAATTCGTACTATTATTTATGGTAATATAACGTAAACAATTTCATTTGAATAACAATATTCTCCATTGTTGTTAAATCATGTACTTTATAAAAGACAGTAGTATCTAATTTAAAATTAGTAGGAACAATTATTTTAAAGATTTATGTTATAAGTATGAAAAAATTATATTTACTAAATTTCACAATATTAAAATTAATATAAAAATCAATATTTATAATTAATAACATTAAATTAAATTATAAATTTACACATTTTAAACTATTTATAATTTAACTCATGCTGGAATTAGATATATTATTACAAAAAAAATTAATAAATATACGTTTTTTTAGTCAATAATTTATTCAGTGTATGAAAACAATTGCAGTATACTGTGCGATGATAATTAGATAACAATAAGATTCCTGTCACCTAATTTCTTTTTTAATAATTATAATTCATTCACTACAATAAGATATAATTTTAAAAATTGTAATTGGTTATGAACTTTTTAAAAAAACGTTATATAGAAAATGGAATGCATTAGTTACTATTAACTGAATTACTACAATATATTAATTAATTATATTCATTTAAAATTTGAATAGTGTCAAATAAATATAAATCATTTTGAATTATTTATTTTATATTATTAATTTATTATTAAAATATTAATTTATTTTATATTATTGGTATAATTATTTTATATATAATATTAATAATAATGTATTTGTTATAATAACGTTAGAAATTTATTTCACTAATAATCCATTTTTTCAATTTATAATATAATATATTATATTATATTATATATTTTAATTGCTTAATAATTTTATGTAACCTTGTATATATAAAAGAATTTGATTTTAAATATATATAAATATACATTTATATAAGGCTGTGCATGTAGCCATATACGCATGTATACCGACATATGTGTGTATGTGCAGGCGCCTACATGCATTCGCATGTGTATAGTTATATCAAATAAGGTATATACATAATGATGATATTCAAATACAATTGAACTTTTATTATTTCAATTACTTTTATTGTTTCAAGAGTTTAATTTTTCATTAGTCACGTTTTTTAAATTGTAATACCACAATAGCTAAGATATAAGATTAATTAATTTTTTATTCCTTTAACTTCATATTTGAATTAATATTATTTTATATTTATAATGGAAATGAAAAGTAATAGGACTGTTGTGATGAACTTTTGATATGCTATTAGTAAATTTATTTTTCATAGTATAAACTCTAAACATAGTTAAATAAATCAATTAAAATGGATATGAAATGGAAATCTTGAAATTTAATTTAACAAAGTATTATAATGAACTTTAGTTACTTATTAATATTGTGTAATTTTAATATTACAAATAACTTACTGAATATATTCTAAATATATTATTAAAATTAATGAAAATATCAACTGAAAAACTTTTAGTTCCTTTAATATATTTTAATATTTCGAATAATCGAAAAAATGCTGTTATAAATCTCGTTTTATTTTTATACATAATTTTATTATAGGCAATTTCATGCATAAGACTTTATAATTTAAATATCTTTTTGTTTTATTTATAATACAAAAGTAATTGTTTTATGCGCAATATTACATTACTAGTAGCGATTATTTATAGATTGTTTATTTTGTGCTTTTATATGCGTATTATAACCAGTTAGGAAAAACTCGATGTCATAATTTAAAACATGTATTCAAGTGTGTATATATGGATTATTTAAACATTCTTTATTTATTTCATGCAAAATTCGTTGTTTTATCTATCTATTTAATTGTCATTGTTAAAAATCATTCATTCAAAAGTAAAAATATCGTTTATTTGTTATTTAAAAAACATTATTTAAAAATTTATTTTTAAATTTATCACTTTGAGAGTTTTAAAATTACTATTAAATTTAGCATTTGAAACGAGATAAGTTTTTCTTTTGATCTAGTTATTTGAGGTCAGAAATTTTTTTTGGGTTTATTGCAGTTGAGATTACTGAAATTTAATTCTGAGTTTATTTCAGGAGGAATTTTGTAAAAAGTAGCATATATTAAAATTATTCAAAAAGTAAACTAACATTCAAATAACTTATTATGATTAATATATGGTCTTTGTGCAGAATTGTTTACATAATTATAGAACAATCTGAAAAAAGGGTGTAAATAACTCCGAAATAAAGGAGATACTTGGTTAAGAAGAGATGCTTAATTATCAAATAATAATAACAAATGAAATCTGACACTTGTATCTGAAACTAGTATTGGTTATTTTTAATATGTTTGCTAAAAATACTTTCTTGCAATTTGCACATTATCTTGAAAACTTGCACAGTATATCAATAAATTGTATTACTCTTCTTTACTTTTTAATTTAATTATCCTTTATTTACTTACTTATTATACATTATATTTAATATTATTCAAAAATTTATGATTTCATATCACTTTGTAAAGAACATTAACAACTTATGCGTTTGAACGTGATCTTTATTTAAATTCTCTCATTCCTAGATATTTTGAAGTTGATTCAGAATTCATTGATGCTAAAAAGATGTTATGAAATAAATATAAGTGATTTTTAAATTATGAAATTAAATATATTTTTTTACAGATTATAAACGAATAAAAATGATTATAATTGATTTTGATGATGGGTTTAAACTACTGGCGTGAGTAGTTTCTGACTTGAATGCTTTGTGTAGAATAGTATGATGCGGTTTGTAGCAGTTGTTGCATTTTGTTTAAGCTCTACACGAGCCGACTTTGTGGAATCTTAGGTAGTTTAAACAGAATTCGTGCTCTATCGCCAGATTTTTTCTCTCTATAGCTGACATGCCCCGAAATTGTGGACATGAAGGAATGGTATATCTGCCGGTGCAACATTTGCACTCATTCGACTTGTTTTTTGCTGTTGAGTAAGCTGACTGAGTTTTGTTCGCAGATATCTAGTACGTTTTTGATACTCTTTTTGTCGAAAATAGGGGCTGCGCTCTGGATCTGGGACCTTCTGTTAACATTTCGGTTTGTTTTAGCGCCCTCGGCGCGTTGTTAAAAACGTCTTTAATTAATCATGGCGCGGATATGAGTTGGATGTGCCAAGTGATGATTCCCATAATTCCATCGAGACACGCTCTAGCTGTTGGAAGATTTGACATACTAAGATGTAATTCCACAAATCTTCTGTTATGTCCAATTAAGGAGATGTTTAATTGCTTCTTCTGAACTATCAACGAGTTTTTCAAATGTAGCTGCGTACCCATTGATCGGATTTAAAGGGGGGAAATCTTACTGAGACTTGAATGAACCGATAGCCGCTTGTTATTATAACGTTCAGTGAGTAGCTTTGAGGCTAGGGTTAATGATTTCTTTGTCAGAGGGGGTCCAGAAATTAATTGTTCTATTAGACTGCCTACTGAGGTACGGAGATAATTCAGCTTTCAACCTTGCTAATGTCATTGTTTTCCATGGCCAATCCCGTGAAAAGGTTGTTGAATTCACACCAGTCTTCTTGTCTTCCGGAAAACTTGGGAAAGTTTCATAATGGAAGTTGCATCCTGTTTGATTTTGTTTTGGGTGGCGATGCTTCTCTTTTGTCAGATTCGGTTTTGTAGACTTGACGGATGTTCTTGATAATTTCTCGCGTGGTCGTGTATTGTGAGGATTCCTCGACATAGGTATTATTTTCAAAATATTCGTGATTACTCTGAGCAGCTGGCCAACTCATCTCCATATACGCATATTCTTTGATGAAGGCCTTGTGCACCTCTATGCGTGAGTATGCATCAGAGAGTTCTTTCAGGGTAAAATCGTGGTGCGATGAAGTGAATCTCTTAGCCAGATTCTTCAATATTGTGATGTGATTTAATTGTGTTTTTAATTTGAAAATGAACGTCCCTTGCTGGTGCGATATTAGTTTTAGGAGTCTTAATATTCTTTGTTTCCATCGGAGCTTCCTTAGTCAACATATTTATTGGCATGTACTCCAGAGAGGTAGGAGGTTGTTGCTCTCTGGATACGTACGTAGTTATGTCGTAGGTGGTGGTTTTCTATGTGGAGAGGTGGGAGATCGTAAATCTCTGGTTTCTCCTTAGTATAGAACCACGTGCTGTCTAGTATGCAGTGATGCAAAGGTATTGCTAAATTCTTGAAGTTGCACGTGTGCAGGGCACCGGTGAGATGCACTATCTTCTACTGTATTCAGCTCGAAGGACCAAATGATCGATAATGTGTTTGATTTTCTGGCTCGAACTACCAAGTTCGATAGTTCAGTTAATTTTCCGCCCGCCTTAACGTTGCTTAGGTAAGGACTTAAGAGGAAGGGCTGTAGAGATTGACAGTGTATGCAAACTACGTTAAAGCATCGTTTATTTTGGGTTTATTGACAATTACATTATTGTTGATTCTGAATTCACTTCTCATGGGAAAATGTGAACTATATTCTATCTCGATGTAGTTGCTCCTTGGTGATGGTGGCGACATCGTTAATGATGCTATAGAGATCAGCAATTGATTATGTATACTCCTTAAAAAGGAATATAGCTTGGGTATGTGGTCTATGCTAACGTTGTAAAGGTTAGAAAGGAGAGCTAACCATACTCATAAATGGAGTATGGAGTTATTTAGTGGTCCGTGCTACCGTTGTAACGATTAGCAGGGAGAGCCGACCATACTCATTAAGAGAGTATAAAATTAATTGATTAGTCTGTGATAACGTTGTAAAGATTAGCAGGGAGAGCCGACTATACTCATTAAGATAGTATGGAATTAATTGATTGGTAGTTACCCTCAATAGAGAATACTGGTATACCTTCATGTGAAGGAGTGGTCTGATACCATGCTTCTTGTAGGCGACTATTTCCTGATACTGCAGTCAGCACCCTTGACTGGTTGTTAACCGTTACGCACTGAAAAATTGAACGTGTGTTCCTTGCAATGGTTGCACTGAGAGAGCCTGATCGTGTGACGAACTCTTGACTATAGACTCCGGATTAATAACGTGGCTGAAGCATAGATGACTGACGAGGATAAGTAACTGACTGGGAGGAAAAAGTGACGACGTGTCTTGTTGCGCACTCGTTAAAAATCCACGCGGCAGCTAAGTTAGATGGCAACGATGCTTACGTGTTGCTATACGAGACTAGGCAGACTTGTAGAACATTCGAGAATTCTGCGAAAGCGAAGCTTTGTAAGGTTGGAGAATTCAATTGACGTTGCTATGCGGAGACTAGATAAACATTATAGGACATTAGAAAATAAGCTATAGAAGCTTCGAGAATTCCAGAGATCAATGTTTACATGTTCGAGAACTAGAAGGCTTATAAATTTCCGATTAGTCAAAAGTCTTGGAAAATTCTCCAATTTCGAATAAGTATAAATAGCAAGAAACAGTCGAATAAAAATTACATGTAGAACTTATATATATTATCATATATATATATATATAATGACGGAACTAACTTATGTATGGTTCTGCATTCAAAAGTAGAATGAATAACGTCTTTGCAACTTAACAAGATGGAATAATGATATATAGATGATATATAGATAATCATGTCTTTTCATGTTTACAGCAGCGTAGTCCTACTGTCGCATCTTATTCTTCGTAATCGGTGACAGAGTGAAGACCCTGGATCTGTCCATGTTGCAATTAAGCCGACATTAACGTATAATAATAGTTATACATATATCCATATAAACATAAGCATTTATTTATCGATTATTATAATATAAATAATATGGGGTTGTTCAGGATTGACGCAGTTTCCACGAATTTAAGACAAAGTAGGTCATACGCGCTGTACGGCGCACGGCACGCGCACTCGGGCGAATGTTTATAAACACAACTCGACAAGTCCGAGCAAGTTTTACGAAATGAAATCCGATATACTATAAGATCATACAAAAAAAGAACGCCTACGAAACTTCTAGAAGCTTCGTTTTCTAACGCCACAAAGAAGTTTTCGGTATAGCGATAAGTGGCGGCACTGTTGCCGGCATTGCATCCTGCTACATGTATATTTAAGGGCAGCTCACCATGTGGCGAGCTCATTGTCATCCTACTTCGTGCTCACTAAACTGTAATTGCCGCTCAGTGTTTTAGTATATACTGTGACGACGACACGTGGCCATATATTCGGTAGGCTAACTATTAATACACATGTGCATTAATAAAAAGAAATCGGCAGATTTGGTAGTGAGTTACAGTGAAGCTATTTGGAAAAGTAATTAAAGGGGACATCAGCCACACAGTAAAGCAACACACCTTGTCGGTAATTTCCAAGGTACAGATTTCTTATATTATTTAAATAAGCTAGTTGCGCAGAACGAGCAAATTGAGTTCAATAAAACTCGTCTATAAAAAGTCGGCAGGTGATAGAGCACGTTCTCTCGAATTAACCCTTCGTCATCGTGCATTTCCTCAAACGGTCGACACAATCGACGCAACGCATCAAGTTCATTGTCAAGGCCAGACAACAGTATATCGACTAATTGACTATAAATACATTTCATTAAGTCCTTCAAGAGCTCGAAGGCTTATCATTAATGACTCGTGTGTGTGACTAGCCCTTCTACTGCCCCCATAAATAATTAGAGACATAATTGATTACTTACCAATTTCCATAAACATCTTACACCATATCAAGTATAGTTATTCATACATCAAGCATACTTGATTCAAACACCATCTTCTCATGCAATCTCACAAGCATGATTGATTGACTACACCAGCTAATATTTACAACATCAACATTACCTCTACTTTAAGACACAGTAAATCCATAGCATCTACAATAATTTAAGAATACAAGAATGCACCCTCAATAGAATTATTTCTCTCTACATCAAAGTGCAATATTGTTATAATCATGTACAATAATAAACATTGTTTTACTAAAATACATAATATTTTTTTTTTAGCCCTTTCACTTAGTATTCTCCTTTAAGCTATCCTGACGAGAGACTAATCCACTGAACTATTGAATTGGCAGTTCGAGTCATAAACTAAACCCTTAAAATGGAACAGGGGTTAATTGTAATTAATGATATACAATTTAAATATTTGCAATAACTTTTTTCGTAATATAATATTAATGTATACAAATATTATTCAGTAAATTTTTGCAACATATTCATTAATGGTATTTAGATTATTGATAATTTTTTAAAAAGGAGATCTAAACAATTTTTCTTTACAATTAAAAAAAAATATATGTGTATGTGTGTATATATATATTCAATATAAAATGAGACGTGTTATCTATATTGGAGATTAATATATTTTTAAAGTACGAATTTTTATAATAATTCTTTTTTAAAATACAATTATAATTCAGTTGTAATATTCATATATTACAATAAATTTTAGTAAGTACTATAGTTCTCGGTTTATGCATACTAATATAATATTCTTAAAACATATATACAAATATATATTACATTTGAATAACTCTTAATAAAAAAATACAGACTCAAATTATTTGACGATAAATTAATTAAATTAACTTACCGTGATGAATTCTTCAAAATCACATGGAATTAGTATTCGATCTCTGCACCGGCCGATTCCGAATGCTATAATCTGAGGTCCGCTTCCCGACCCAGTTTCGCTTTGGCCATTGTCTTGAACTGCAATATTGGAACTAGTTGTCATGTTATACTGCTTCGCTCTTGAACCGCCAATTCGAAAGGATTCATTGGTACAAGGCGAATAGGATATGCTGCACATGCCGTACTGTTGTCGGATGCAAATTAAGTAATCATGATTGGCAAGATACCTGCCATTGGGTAGGTAGTTGAGGGTTTTCAGAATGCCATTGTTTGACTGCAAGTATTGTAGACAACCAGCTGGTGCCCTTTGCTCGAATCCCAATTGAATTATGCGCATTTCCCACATTCGAGACATTAAATTACCTGATAGACGGAAATTTATTGTTACCGGTTCCTCACATATATCTATGTAAACTGGAAATAATTATCTCTAATATCAATGCGCTCAAATGAGAGCTGTATTAATTTTTTCCAATTAATAATTGAATAATGATCAAAATATATCGCGATAAAAGAAAAAATTGGCATATTATTAGTGAAGTTTATTAGATATATCCTATAGAAAATGTATCTAATAGGAAATTTCAATATATTCAGAATGTACTGCACGAATTAAAAATATCTTCCAATTTAGTTCGATTATTTATATGTTTACTTATAAAAAATGTTTTTTATATTAAATTAGTAACTGATGTTTAAAAATAATAATTATATAAATAAAGATAATAATTATATGTATTAAACATATTTATATTTATCAAGAATTTAAATTATGTGGTTTTATTGAGTTAATTAATAGAGAGAGAGAGAGAGAGAGAGAGAGAGAGAGAGAGAAAGAGAGAGAGAGGGAGAGAAGTGAAAAATCCAAACTAAGTGTCTCAATTTAGAACGAGGCCGCTGTAATTTTCAAAATACTAAGTATACTTACTGTGCTGTCCACTATTCCAACCACAAAGCTGAAAAGTCTTTTCACCAGATCTAAGCTGAAAATATGCCATCAATTCAGTATTTTCACTACTATATATTCTAATTATAAATTTGATTAAGTATATAAAAAAAAAATATATATATATATATAAATTATTTTTATAAATATAAAAAATAATTGTTTAATTAATTAATATCATTTTAAATTCAGATTTATCGTTTTTATAAATAAAATTACAAAATCCTTCAGTGAAGTAACTTATAATTTGTATATTTTTGATAAAAATATATTTTTATATATGATTTATGAGACTTTCATATATATATATATATATATATATATATATATATATATATATATAGCAACTATATTCACAATTTTTATTTTCTAATTATCTTGTAATTCTTTACTTGATGAACGTAATATTAATTTTATTAGTAAAATCATATTTACGAATTTAATGTGAAATGAAAGGGACTTTCATTTTATATCAAGTTATTATCTAATTAAATACTATACATTCAAATAAAATATCTATTTTATTTTGATAAAATATATAGTAAAAATATATTATACTAGTTACAGAATTAATTATATATATAAGAATAAATTATTACATAAAAATTAAGAATAAAAAAATTGAATAAAAGAGCAATATTATTTACATGTTTTAAATCCTGATAGCTAATAAATATATTACAATGTAGTCAATCTTTTATTCAAATTATTTATAATCAATTTCCTTTGTACTTCTTTTTATCATTATAAAAATCAAGAATAATATTATTACTTATATGTATATTTATTTTAATCGAATATAAAAACACTTGAATATAAATTCTAAATTATAAATTCATTTGTATAGGTTTAGTTACTTTATCGTTATTATAATAAAAATGATAGGTTTATAAAAATTATTATTAACATTAATAATTTGAGTTTTATTAAAAAAAATTCTTATAAGCAAACATTCATTTTAAAAACAGTAGTTTTAAAACTTCAAAATATCTAAATCTTATTTCGAAGATAGATATAATATAAATATTTTATTTTCTTTAAATATTAATGGAACAGATTTAGTGCAAAATTTATTTTTGACATAAACGCGATATTGTTTGCTATGTTAATTGCCATGATTAAGGTGAATATTTCTTAACAACTCCAACAATATATATATATATATATATATATATATATATATATAATATATATAATAGTTTGAAAAATATTTTTTAGAAATTGATAAAAGACATAGAAATAGCTTAAATTAGATATGTAACAATCAAAACATTACCAATAAAACGTCTTCATCACAAATCCCAGTTTTTCTGTTAGGTTGTCCCTGAAAAAAATGCTTAAATTAATGCAACAGTAATGTCTATAATTACTTGATATTACTACACGTTATTGTCATAAATCAAGATTTCAATTGTAATATAAATAATTACATTATAAATATTCTAAATTTAATGTAAATATAATTTTATTATAATGAAATCATAATAATAAATATAAGATTAATAAAAAAAATTTATTGAACTAATGTTAAATTAATTTTTTTTAAATGTAATGTTTTGAAAATATAAAGTTAAAAATATAACAAAAATATTAAATAAATCAAAGTAATATATAAGGAATTGAAACCGTTATTATTCAAAATCAACTACCAAAACAGCCGATAAAATTTTTAGGAATAGTCTTTTTTTAATTATTGAACACTATTAGTTTTAAAAATAACTTAATAAAATTTTCCAATACTTCAATTATTTATTTAAGATAAACAAATTTTATATCCATTTCGAATTATTCAAATTATGGAAAAAACTTGTTTTTTATATAAAAATAATTCTTTTAATCGTGTGTAGTGGTTATTGTTTTTATATTTTTCCTATAGTAGTTTGAAACTATTAGAAATATAAAACATATAATACAAATATTTTGATTTCTATATTATTTACAAACTTATGTAGAAATTGAGCTACCATAAATACCTATTTACAGCTAACTTTATTTACAGATAACTTTAGTATGTTTTCACACTTTTAAACAAATAAGTGTGTGTAAAATTTAAATAACATTACTATATTATTAAAAATGGGTTAAAGATTTACATAAACAAATTCAGAAAAATTGTATTTGTTTGCTACACACGTACCATAATCCCGTAAAATTAAAATAGACAAAACAATTTTTTATATAGCACTGTCAATTGTAATATAAGAAATTATGATATCTTTCATTATTCAAAAACAAAAATAAGTATAGAGATTGAAATTGTTTTATGAATTTGATTCTAGGATGATATAATTGAAGTAGTACTTATTTACCAAATATCATATGTAAATATAAATTAATTCCAGTAAGTTTTATTCTGTCACAAATAAAATAAAAATAAAATAAAAATAAAATATTTTGAAATTAGAAATAATTATTTACTACAAAAATAAAAGAATATAGCACAGGCAATCGATAATAAAAAAAAAGTATATAAAAATGTAAACAATTAATAATAAAAATATAAATGTTGATTACTCTAAATTGAATATTTTTTAACATTTGAAAGCATCTAACAATGATATGTAATCTAAAAATATATATTAAGAAAGTGTTAAATAATTAATTTTTTACCTAGCTTTGTTCAATTTCACAATATATTACAAATGTTCTAATTAGCATCTAATATTTTTAAAAATATTTTTATAAACATGCATCTAAAAATGAAAAAATATAATGTAAGGCTATATTAAATCAGAACATTAAAATACTGTTTGTTACATAATAAAATTTTTTCAATTTAATTTATATAAAATTATGAGTACGCATGTAACAATGTAATAGAATATTGAATTAACATTACAAACATTATAATATATACATTCTATCGAACTGTATATCCATCTATTATTACAACGACTACCAAAGTAACTTTTTTGAAGTCGTGTTAAGCTTGCGTATATGCTTCTTGACCTGAGGTCAAACTATATTTATGTAAAGACTCCGTAAAATTAATCCTTCGTTAAAATTTTTTGATAAAAATATCAGTACCAGGTGTAAATAGATAATATTGGATTTAAAAGAAATTGAAATTATATTCGATATACAGGTTAAAATACGCTTTTAAAATTATACATGACAAGAAATTCGTTAACTTACTTTCATAAAAACACAATTTTTTCCAACAACTTTCAATGCAATTCAGTTCTGTATAGAAAAATCTTATAACAAATAATTAAAGTTATAGTAATTAAAGTTTTTTTATATAAAAACAATAGAATATAAAGAATAATGGTTTATTTATTGTAAAATTTTGATTACTTCAAATATGCTTGTTTTGTAATTTTTATGAATTTAAATGTATACAAAAAGATAATATTCTACTCAATCTATTTCTTAATATTTTACCTTTATTTTAAAATTTGGCTATACGTTAAAAATTTCTTTTAATGCAATATTATATAGTGTGCATTATATAGGCCATAAACAAACTACACTAAAAATATTAAATCACACTTTATATTTTCAAAATTTGTTCAACTTACAGATAGAATATTGAATAAGAAAGTTTAGAATATGCTAAAATAATCTATTACTAAATGCATAAAATAGACTTACAATATTGAAGTGAAGAAAATCGATTTTTAATTGACTAACTTGCTGATCAATTTTCTTGACAAGAATTGAGCAATTCATAGGTTGATCGATGAGACTCGGAAATCCTGGACTGGTAACGTACGTAAGGTTATTCTGGACCTCACCACCGCAGCTTGTTGTGACTTATTGAACATAAATAATATATAAAAATACTAACATTTGATTGTGCTCATGAGATCTGTAAATGTAACATTACTAACGAATTTAGATATCAACGATGTACCGCTCTTTTACTCCTACGATTTTCAATTTTTAGTTTGAAAACAAACATAAAAAAATAATTTTTACATTTCTACTTTTTTTAGTTTTTAAATTTTTATCAAAATTATATTTAATATGCTATATTAATTAATATTGTTCGGGATTGATGCAGTCCCATGAATTTCAAACAAAAGAAAGGTCATACGCGCTGTCCGGCATACAGCATGTGCGCCTAGACTGGCCCACACGTGCGGACTGGGACGCGTACTTGAGGAACGTTTACAAACAAATCCCGGAAAGTACGAGCAAGTTTACGACTCGACATATAATGTACTGTAAGATCACCCAACGGTATTACTCCTACTTTTCTCTCGTCGAACATTCTCGAAGGTTCTAGATTTTTCCTTCGACGCCTCGTGTAAGAATTAGTCCAACAACGACGATGCCTTATTGCCAGCTAAGTGAGCCGCCGAGTGGCTATATAAGGGACGCACGTGGCGCGCCTCTACCTCTTGCTGAAGATACCTCTTGCAGAAGATACCTCTTGCTGAAAATCATCTCTTGCCGTACCACCATCGCTCAACTGCGCTTGCGGCTAACATCTTGCCGTGACCCGACCGCAGTGAACCGACCATAGTGAACCGATCTAACCATCTACCAGTAAAAGCCATGACACACGGGTCTCGATCTGCCCTCAGCAGGACCGCCATGGAACGGTCGGTATTTTCAGCAGAGCCGCCACGGAACGATCAAGCCTTCGGTTCGTGCGCGTATTCAAAAGGCTCATTGTAACATCACATCGCTTTCACTCAAGTGTATCTGCCGCTCAGTGTTTAGTATAATGTGAAGACGACATGTGGCCACACATATTCGGCAACATAGTTAAAATTACACGCGTGCATAAGAATATGAAGTCGGCAGTTTAAATAGTGATCACAGTGAAGCCAATGGAACAGTAATCAAAAGGGGCATCACTCACACAGCAGTAAAATACCTTGCCTGCATTTTACAAGATACATCTTTTTATATTAATTAATCAGTTAGTCACGCCTCGCACACAACAAGTCGGGCAAACTTACGCTC